TTCAGTCATCATGCCAAATCTTGGGTACAATGTGTGAATCCTGTTTTTATGTCGCATGCCATGATATTGCTGGAGGTGGTGGAAAATATCACTCTCACTCACTCACTTTCTCAGTGGGGTAGCCTAATGGTTAAAGCATTTGCTCGTCACGCCGAAGACCTGAGTTCGATTCCCCACTTGAGTACAATGTGGGAAGCCCATTTCTAATGTTCCCCGCTGTGATATGACTGGAATATTGCTAAAAGCAGCATAAAACCATACTTACTCACTCACTCACTCAAGATGACAGGAAAGGTCACACTGTTTGTCAAGAGGCTCCCAAGTATAAATCTCTTTTTGTGTGGAGTACCCTGTCACTGCCTTGACAGGCCTTCTAAGGCACCTAGAATTTACACAGGTCCTACCTATTAAACGTGCTCACAAAAAGCCATACAATACAGATGAGTTGGATGTAATGGTCACACTCCACTACCCTTGTGACTACTAACATGGTTCAGATAGCCTCTAAAAGCTGTAAGTTCTGAAGAAAGCCTTCAATTTGGCAGTTATTGTTGACTCGACTGTTTTTTCTCAATTGATGCTAGAGGATTATGAAGAAAATGCTTAGTCAGCAACCTTTTGAAATTATGTAGCATCACATGTGGGTGGACTTGGTTATTTTAATTGGGGTTGTTGATGGAGCTATGAGCTATGAAATGGACCTATTGTGACATTTGAATTAAGAATTATAGTTCGCTCTACCACCATGTATAGTGAAATAAAGTACACTTTTTCCCTGAACTACTATCATTTTTGCCTGATTATAGTTAAAGTACGAGGATGCTTGTGTCGAGTGCTTTAGCGTGATAATAGGTCAGGGCAAAAGTGTACTTTATTTCACTATAAATGGTGGTAGAGCGAATTGCCATTCTTTTCCAGGATGACAAATGTAATACTTTCTGAGGGTAATTACGATTAATCTAAGGCAGAAAACAAACAGAAAACGACGGTGTCGGTGACCTTTATTAACAATCCTCGCTCAGGGCTAACTGACGCTCTGTTCTTTTGACGTGTCAGTGTCCCTATGTTATGACGCATTTTACCAAAAAACAAATGATATTCTGTTTACATTCGGGTTAAATATCTTCTCAAAATTATTTTAATTACATCTGTGATTAAGGTAAATCATTTGGGGCAATATGAACATCGCGTTTCTCTTTCCTATGTATGTTTAGATCAGTACGTCCAGATGAAGCTGACTAGTCACGCGACCTTTCATGGATGCGTTGTTGGAATGTAAACATTGCCATCGTTGCCGTTTCGCTATTTGATTGTGAGTCGAACTGAAACATATTATCCGTTGAAAAACATAAACGTGATGTTTCCACCAGTGATGTTAGCCAAGTGAAGCAACTGCAAACCAAGAAACTGGGTGCAACGGAGTAGTTTACTGTAGGAAGCTGTACGAGGCGATGACAACTGACATGCATCGTACGTTTTATAACGAGGAGGCAGACGAGAATGGCGTAGTGATGTTAATAGTGTCACGTCCTGCAAAAAGTGTACTTCATCACCTGATAACTGTCGATGCCTTTGATCTTTTAGCAAAGCATCTTAGAATGAATTTAATTATTTACATTCCCAATCTGGCTTCCCCACAGGATATCACTTGGGTGTTATCAAGTCATATCTCCTTGAAGATACCGTTGCAGTCAGATTGCATCACAATGGTCACAGTGACAGCACAATCAAATGACCTCACTCTCCTTCCGGCGCTGAATCTGGTTGGCTTATGTTAATATGTGGGTTCATTTCTGTTTTTACAAACTGAAAAATATGGAAGGATGGTTTTAGATAAAGAAAATTTTCAACCAATATTGTTTCAGCAGTTCATAGATAAGTAAGCCAATGCTTATATTTTTGTACTTCCTTCTTAAAGGCAACTTGGTCTTTGGGAATTATCTTATCACACTTGTTTGTCATTCATGATATTAATGGATTATCTTATCACTGTTGTTTAACTTTGTTTGTCATTTATGTTTACTTCGCCAGCTCTAGTACTTTCTACTTGATCAAACCCGTAATCATGTAGGTGGTGTGTTGGTGGACAAGCATGAAGTGAACACGCGTGTATTTATATCTGGAATATGAAGGTCACAGGCAGTCAACACTACACACCCAAGATGATGTTTCTCAAGTACATACTCTTGGTCAAAATGGGGGTGGGGTAGCCTAAAGGTTAAAGTGTTTGCTCGTCACGCCAAAGACCTGGGTTCAATTTCCCACATGGGTACAATGTGTGAAGCCCATTTCTGGTGTCCCCCGTCATGATATTGCTGGTATATTGCTAAAAGCAGCGTAAAACTAAACTCGCTCACTTACTTTGTCATAATAGTTCCCCAGTATCACATACTTGTCTCCCTGTGGGGATACTGGATTGGAATAGTTCCCCAGTATCGCATGCCTGTCTCAGTCAGTCTTGGGATTCTGGTTCAGATTGGGTGTCCTATATTCCGCTCACTCAAGTGAATAAATAGTGAGTGCAAGAAAAAGTGAGTTAAAATTTTACGTCACATTGGCAATGTTTCAGTTATGATGCTTGTCAAAGTCTTGGGATCCTGGTTCAGATTAGATGTCCCCTATCCCGGTCACTCAAGTGAATAATTGAGTCAGAGAGTGAGTTAGTGCAAGAAAAAGTGAGCGAGTTAAGTTTAACGTCACATCCACAAAATTTCAGCCACATCATGACAGAGATAAACAAGTGTGCATTTTTATGGAGAAGGTTGTTTTACACATACCCCTCTGTCTCTCACTCATTCTCTTTCTCCCCCTCTCTCTCTCTCTTTCTTTCTTTCTCTCTCCCTCCCTCCCTCTCTTTCTCCCTCCCCCTCTCTCCCTCCCTCCCTCTTTCCCTCCCTCTCTCTTTCTCCCTCCCTCCCTCTCTCTCTCTCTCTCTCTCTCTCTCTCTCTCTCTCTCTCTCTCTCTCTCTCTCTCTCTCATCTTCTCTGTTGTTCACTCACTCACTCATTTTCTTATTCACTTTTGGTAATTGGATGCTTTCAAACACTCATTATTTTCCATCATATGGACTTCAACCACAAAGAAATGGCAGTTAAGCTTATTAACCGTGACCTCTTGACTGGCCGTCCTTGTCCAGCCCTAGGGAAACGTACAGCAGAGGATCAAGCAAGTGACTCTGAGTTTGTTACTTTGTAGAGGGCTCCTTGTTAAGGCCATGGTAAATGTTACAGGTACTTGAGAACATTTCCTAAAGCATACGTGATCTTTGCTGGCGACAGACTGTTACCATGTTGAGAAGTCAAATATTTAACAGGCAATAGAAAAAAGAAATATTTGTGGTTAAGTAAAAAAGTGGAATTCTTCTTGGATCATTGAGAAATTGGTGTGTGGATTTTCTGTGTGGGTTTATGAGATTTTTTCTTTTTTTAAATAATTGATTCTATAGATATGAAGGGCATATGACAGGGCACTTGTTGCAAACATTTGGGCTCCTTTGGAATGGGTATATTTTGTCTCCATTGGTGGGTTTATTTTGTCTCCATTGGTAGTGTCGTCAGTGGTGGGTAACTTTTGTCTCTGGGGTGGGTATTTTTGGTCTCCAGTGATGGGTATCTTGTCATTGGGGATGGGAATCTTCTGTCTCTTGTTGTAGGTCTATTTTCTCTCAAGCAGATCCCCTTTCCCTCTGGGCGTGTCAAGGGCGGGTAACTTTTTGAGATGAGTATATTTTCCCACAAGGGATTGATGAGTCTCCAAGGGAATTGTCTGTTACGTCATAATGTGTGATACCTTGTGTATAAGAAATCATTATCTGCCTGAAATAGAAATTAATCTGTTTGGGTTTGTTGTTATTTTTGTTGTTGTCTTTCTTATAAAAGTTGTCATTCAATTTAAAAGTAGAAGTATTTGATTTGTAAGACACCAGGAATCGTAGGTTTTTGGCTAGTAGCTTAAGAGCTCCTGGCTGGGGCGAGTGTTCAAATTTGCTCAGGTCCTACAGCTGTTAACTTTCAGATTGAAGAAGTATGGGGGAATGCAAGTGTTGAAGCCTCTTTGTGACAAATCCTTAATTTTATAATTAAATGTAGGCAAAAAATTATGTCTGGCGTGCTTTGTGACGTATTTGTGAGCACCATCGCCTGATGTGGCATTTTCATCATGTACATGCAACAACATTTAGCTTAATAAGATAATTGAGAGTGGATTGTAATTTTTGGCATTTTTTTAAAGGGTTTTGAAAGAAATTACAAAGTTGATGCCTACATTTGGTAACATTTTTTAAATATAACAGCATTGTCATTAGTTTGTAGTGCTGGGTTTTTTAAAAAAGTATTCAGGGATTTACAGGACACGAACTCCTGCGTCCTATACGCATAAAATTTAACAATGGACGCAACAAAATTTATTAGCGGATCCACAGGGGACGCAGAAAAGGTTCAAATAGTTTTTTGTAAAAATTCCAATCAAGTAACAATAGGTTACCTCTGAGTTTGCTACTAGCTGAGTTATGGTATATCATTTGCAATTTAATTACCGAAACATTGTGATGATCATGATACACTATACAAAAACAGTATTAATAATAATATTTAAGTGTCTGGGACCCCCCATTTTGTTGCCCAGGGACCCTCAAATACAGGACTCAAGGTAAATCCGTGGACTATTAAACCTTTTTATTTATGTTGTATGTTGCCTAAAGTTTATTCAAGGAATGTTAAAAACCCATCACCCCATTACACAGATGGGTTGAAACACGTCATATTGGAGGGAGAGGGTAATTGAAAAACACGGGAGGGGAGAGGGTTATAGATGTTATGTTAATTGAGTTGAAACACGTCATTTTGGAGGGATTATTATGTTAATTGAGTTGAAACACGTCATATTGGAGGGAGAGGGTTATAGATATTATGTTAATTGAATTTTCATTCTTTCAGAAATATTGTAGGATATAATATAAAGTGCTAAATTTCTAATTGTAATTGTTTGATGTTTGTTTCAGAGAGGAAATTGTTGACCTTCAGAAACATGACCAGCACATCATGAGATACAAATCTATAGCTTCTCTCGTCGCCACTGGAGCCGTCTCACTCATATGAGACACTGTGAGATGTTTTGTTCTGACACCTGAGAAACACTGTGATCACATTTTGAGTCATTTTCAGATACAAGACATTGTGAGACATTTTGTTCACACAAGACATTGTGAGACCTTTTGTTCACACAAGACACTGTGAGACATTTTGGTCTGATCAGATGCTGAGACATTTTGTTCACACAAGACATTGTGAGCCCTTTTGTTCACACAAGACATTGTGAGCCCTTTTGTTCACACAAGACACTGTGAGACATTTTGGTCTGATCAGATGCTGAGACATTTTGAAACATCATTCAAATGGGACAATGTGAGTCATTTAGATGAAACACAGAGGCTTCTTGTTCAGGAGAGACACTGACAGAAATGTTTCCTTGGAGGTTACTGATTAAGCAGAATTAGGTTTTAGTTCCATGAGTTGGTGAAAACATCCTCGCTATTCACAGGAGCAGTGGGGTAGCCTAGTGGTTAAAGCATTTGCTCATCACGCTGGGGGGTTCAGTTCATCACATGGGTACAGTGTGTGAAGCCCATTTCTGGCGCTCTTTTCCGCCTCCTCCCCCTCACCCCCTCCTCCCTTCCTGCAGTTGCCCAAATGGAAAATGGATCTGCACAGTTGACCAAATGGATCTGCACAGTTGACCAAATGGATCTGCAGAGTAGACCAAATGGATCTGCAGATTTGACTAAATGGATCTGCAGACTTGACCAAATGGATATGCAGAGTTGACTAAATGGATCTGCAGAGTTGACCAAATGGATCTGCAGAGTTGACTAAATGGATCTGCAGAGTAGACCAAATGGATCTGCAGATTTGACTAAATGGATTTGCAGGTTTGATTTAATGGATCTTCAGTGTTGACTAATCAGTAATTATTTCAATATTTAATGGTATTCCATTTTAGTAAAGTGACCAAAGAAGATTCAATCTTGACTTCTTGAACCTGTTTTGTGTTGTCCTTGAAGTGAATGTCCTTTGTAATGCAAATGTTCAGACCTGATGAGCTGATAAACTTGATTTGAAGGAGTGCAATCAGATTTTGGCACGCAACTAGCTTTACTGTTATAGAACATAGCAATCATGTATTTCAATATAAGTGTGTTAGGGACTGATAACCGAAATATTCATGTGGAAATAATCACCCTGAATATGGAAACCTGATGCTTTAGCTCTTTAATGAACTCAATCATATCATCTTCAGTGACAGCCACCTATTGACTTGACTGCCAGGCTACAGGGAACTTGATAGTTCATTCAGGGAAGTGTTAATTCATGGATTACAATGGGTCAACATTTTGAGGAGGTTGCTCTAAAGTTAAAATCTCCAAATTACATCCACAGCAATATTTTTCTATCCTCTGAATTGTTTTTTCTCTGGCAACTATCTATCTATCCATCTATCTATCCATCTATCTGTCTCTCTCAATGGAGAGAGATCGACCCAGACATCGCTTGTAATAGAGTGAGTGAGTGAGTTAAGTTTTACGCCGCACTCCACAATACTACAGCTATATGGCGGCGGTCTGTAAATAATCGAGTCTGGACGAGACAATCCAGTGATCAACAGCATGAGCATCGATCTGCGCAACTGGGATACGATGACATGTGTCAGCGAGCCTGACCACCTTTAGTCGTCCTTTATGACAAGCATGGGTTGCTGAAGACCAATTCTAATGACACGGGCAAAACCAACCTTGTGAAAAATATTGTTAACGCAAACACGTGTTCCAAAGTTGTATGTGGTCGATTATGAGAAGACATGATCAATTGCTTGGTCGTTTAGTCACTGCGACCAGTCTTCGATTATTTCAATTAATGGGACCACCGCTTCTGACTGGATGGTCGCACCATACCAAAAGACCTTAATAATTAGTCATGCTGCATGATGCTGGTGTCCATATTAACATGAAGGGAACAGAACAAGGACCGGTCGAGTCCGTATTCTGTGTCGTAATGGGTGCCCATGTTCACCTGCGCCACGTTGTCTCATTGAACAAGCACCGTAAGACGGAACCAGTCAAACACTCATTCCCGTGTGCAGTAATCTTAAAAACATTGAACCCTGCACACTAAACATTGAATACACTGTACTATCACGACGTGGAGGCACCCGCTTGCGACCTTCACCTTCCACAGTGTATATAAACCAAGCTGTGTGTTCAATCCTGTTTGTTGTCTATATATACTGCAGTGTCCTTAATCTGGGCCGTTCACTCGCAAGTATGTCATGGTCACGTGCAGCCGGGAACTGTTCTGCTTTGCTCGGCGAATTCCAAATCACTCGAATAATATCCAACAACCTATTTTCTGTCTGTCTGTCTGTTTGTTTGTTTGATTGAGTAATCAGCAATATTATAACTCCATGACAGCAGTAAATAATCAAGTCTGGACCAGACTATCCAGTGACTTGGACCACCGATTCCGTAAGCCGCATGTTCAAGATGGCTTGCCAGATCTTCAAGTTGGTTGGTTGGTTGTTTAACTAACGCGACACTCAGCAATATTCCAGCTAAATGGCGGCGGTCTGTAAATAATCGAGTCTGGACCAGACAATCCAGTGATCAACAGCATTAGCATCGATCTGCGCAACTGGGATACGATGACATGTGTCAGCGAGCCTGACCACCTTTAGTCGTCCTTTATGACAAGCATGGGTTGCTGAAGACCAATTCTAACCCGGACCGTCACAGGTCGCGCAACAACCATTGACACGGCTGTCCATTGGAGAATAACATCGACAGTTTTGGTCGGAGTGAGTGAGTGAGTGAGTGAGGGAGTTAATATTTAACGTCACATCGGCAATATCTCAGTCATACCGTGACGAATTGGTCGGATGTACATCGAGTGTTTCCGTGGATATATGACAGCTGTGAGAGATCATTCACCAATATAAAACCGATATTTTCGTATTTGAGAGCTTCCCATGGTCAAGACGGACTCGGGCGGTAGGATAGCCTAGTGGTCAAAGCGTTCGCTCGTCACGTTCGATTTCCCAAATGGTACAACGTGTGAAGCCCATTTCTGGTGTCCCCCCGCCGTGATATTGCTGAAATATTGCTAAAAGCGGCGTAAAACTAAACTCACTCATTCAAGACACTGCGATCCAGCAGTGCTGAGTTGAGTAACTGAAAAACAAATGACCACATAATTAGACCATTTTGTATCAGTGAAAGTAAGGGAGTTGCAGATGTAAATGTCATGTAGTGTCATAATTTGTCTATTAAAAGATTAACTACTAACATGACGGTTTTTTAGCTGATTTTATGGTAAAGTTATCTGAAAGATGGGTGTCAGATGCTTGGAAAAGGCCCATTTTCAGTGCTTGTCTTAGGCACTATAACCTATGATTGCATCAACACAAGTACAAATAAGGCAAGAGTCGATAACTTGTGTAATGTTATATTTAAAAAAAATGATTTAGCAACACACATTTTGACCTACAAAAATACCGAACAACCCTGAGTGATCCTTAACCTTCTACAACGCTGACTAGACAATCACGACTACCCTCGATTATCCAGTGTATCGTATACACATTACTAGATAGAGATAAGACATGCTGAATAACCGAGGTTAACTCTCGACGTCAGCTTATAATCCCACGTTTAAGGCAATGCGTAATAAATGACCAAACATGTCTCCGTTTCCACGATACTACTGGGTGTAACTGTAGTCATTCACATAGGAGAGGGGATCCTGGGAACCTCACGCCAGCTAAACTAAAACAATTTCATGTATTGTTCATGTGCTCGATGTCCTTGAATGTGAAACCTTGAATGAAATATGTCATGTTATTTCATACAGCACTGGTGATAACTGGATCTTTTTATCACATCTCTGCGAGACTAACAAAATCCAGTTGAGAGAAATATTGTTAAAATCATGATAGAAACGTTAAAATTGTATGGATTTTAAAATGGGTATGGTTTCTAACAACTAGTCTCTGAAATGAACATATTTTACTGAAAAATATAATATAATGAAATGGAGCCCTGAGACTTTCTTCATTTTCAGAAGCTGAGGAAATCTACACTTGCCACATTTTCTAGACTTGCGTGGGCTTTCTTGGATATATTTGCTTCAGGGTCTGTACGACAGACTAGGTTTCACGCCGCTTTTAGCAATATCAGAATGGGATTCACATTGTAGCCATGTGGGGATTCGAACCCGTGTCTTCGGCGTCTCAATAGAACGCTATAACCACTAAGCTACACCAACACCCCCGTTTGAAAGTATAGGCCAGGGACCTGAATTACGGATTTGTCTTCTGTAAAATATGATATGAGAATATATACAAACCCCATTTGGGCGTGCGTTGTCTGACCATCGTTTGATTTTGGACATGCATACAGTGTATACTGTTTGTAGAGATACAGAAACTGTTTCGATTCGACCTGAAATAGACAAATAAAATGCAATTTAACACATTTGTCAAAATTACCATTTAGAAGACACCACCTCCCAGACAATGTTCCACTTGCCCCCTTCCGTATTATGCCACCCATGAAGATCCGGGTTAGAACTGATCTTCAGCAACCCAGGGGCGGTGGGGTAGCCTAGTGGTAAAGCGTTCGCTCGTCACGCTGAAGACCCGGGTTCGATTCACCACATGGGTACAATGTGTGAAGCCCATTTTCTGGTGTCCCCCGCCGTGATATTGCTGGAATATTGCTAAAAGCGGCGTAAAACCATACTCACTCACTCACTTCAGCAACCCATGCTTGTCGAAAGAGGCGACTAACGGATCGGGTGGTCAGGCTCGCTGACTTGGTTAAAATCCCGATGCTCATGATGTTAATCACTGGATTGTCAGGTCCGGACTCGATTATTTACAGACCGCCGGGATATACTGCTGGAATATTGCTGAGTGTGGCGTTAAGCAATACACAAACTGCGTATTGTGCACTATCAGTTACAGCCAGGATAATGAGTCTCGCCACGTGAAGGAAAGTCATGAGAAACTGTGTTACTTAACACTAGTCTGAAGAGTCGTTGATACTGTTGAGAAACAATAGTGTTAATGCCTATCTCAAGGACTGGGTTTTGAGTCCCAACGTGTGGCAGAAAAGTCATGACAAAACTTGTTACTGAACACCAGCCTGAGTACCGTTGATACGGTTAAGAAACAGTAGAGTTAATGCTTAACTCAAGGACCCGGTTTAATGGGCTGAAACGCACGCTGCATGGGCTGAAATCAAGGTTATTTCATAGCAATGAGAGTTTATGACCAATAATCTGTTATTGTAAAACCATATGAGCATTCTGATTATTTTCAGTAGATGCGAAAGAAAACTATACACAAAAACTTACGACTTGCAATACCTCCTCCATGCTAAATATCTGCTGAATTCTTTGATTGCAGTTGGACTAAGTGACAATAGCCATGAGCTTTACTTAACGACATACCTGGTCACACCCTCGACCAAAGACCAATGTCACAGATAAAGAATTTATGAAACAAGACTTGATTACGCAGTTCAATCCTATAATACATAGATCCACCCTAAATGCTTTGAACCTCCAGCATCATCCCTTGCCATTGGTTCAAGTATCAAATATGTTTAAGTATGAACTTCACAATAATTATGAAACTTGTCATTACCATGCGTGTGATCATAGTATTTGGTACTCCGGGTTTTCCTCCCCTATTAAATCGTATTTCACTCAAATACCACTCAAACAGCGTTAATCTCGGACGTACAAATATACAGAGACGAGATTAGACTAACGCTTAGTCTCTGAATATACATAATTTTGATAGACGCAAACTATTCCTTTTAAATTGAATAGGAGTGAGTGAGTGAGTGAGTTTGATTTTACGCCGCTTTTAGCAATATTCCAGCAACATCACGGCGGGGGACACCAGAAATGGGCTTCACACATTTTACCCATGTTGGGAATCGAACCCGGGCCTTCGGCGTGACGAGCGAACGCTTTACCCACTAG